CCTGCAGACTTGCACTGATCAACATCTAGAAACACCACATTTACATCAATGCATGGATCATCAGGATCATATGAAAACATGGGAGCATCATACTCATCTACATCATCAAGTATTTCACCATCGGATCAAACTCTGGATCAGAGCAATCATCATCAAAGTCGGAAGATGCACCTAAATCAGTGTCATAGCTGTTGTCAGAGAATATGCCCTTATCATCATCTCCAACCTCCTCATCTCCTACCCCCTTATCATCATCTCCAACCTCCTCGTCATCTCCTACCCCCTCATCATCATCATCATCATCATCATCATCATTTGTTGCTCCCTCATTTGTGGTGGCTCCCTCATTTGTGCTCCCCTCAATTAGGTGTATTCTACTCCTCACATTAGGATGACACCTATGTTTGGTTGGTGAAAACTGCAGTGGCCCTTCAAAATCATTTATCTGGGCATTGATGCAAGCTACCCCCTTGTCTACATTGAGTACAAACCACTCTAAAAGATGTTCATCAGTTTTCATCTCAAATGAATCATTTTCCAAATCATGCATAAGGTTATGTATTGCTTAGACCCCCACATGCAATGCTCATCTACGAAATCAACCAACTGCAACAGCCCAAAGCTATGTATGTCATCAACAACTTTAGTTGGCAAAGTTTTACCCTGCTGCCATGACTTTGGACCATTGTCTGGCAAGCTAAAAAAAGATCAAATTCTAACTACAACTCGTATACCCCTGTGATTTGGCCTACAAACCACAGAAGTAGTATGCGGTTAGTTTATCCAACTCAAACCATCAACAATGCACTCACTCTGGCAAAAAAAACAATAGTAGATAATGGTTAGGGTTTGCTGAAACCACCTTTGCTCTTCCATGTTGATCGATTTGACAGATCCCGTGCGTTAAGCTATTGTCGGCGCCATCCATGTAGCAGAACTGAGCCACGCGGCTATCTCGCACCAAAATGAACAAAGTCAATATCTAAGACTAACAAAAGTATAGAGCCAAACTACCGACCTTTCAGGTGACAAATGTAATAGCTATGCCTATACTACTCTAGAATTATTGGTTGTACTAAAGCAAACTTTCTACGCCCAAATTTACAGGGTTCTATAGAGAAGACAGTCAATACAAAGGTAGCTGGTTCCACATATACCATCACCAGAATCATTGAGATTGTTGACAACACTACACTGAGGATCACAGAACTACCAATCCACCGTTGGACGGGGGATTACAAAAATTTTCTTGACAGTTTATGTCCAGATAAGCACAAGGACAAAGTATCATTCTTAGAGGTAGTTGACAACATAAAACAAATTCGCTTGTGTTCATAATGTTTTCACCATCATATATCATAAACACTTTTCCTCAATTGCAACTATTTTACAGGATTTCACAGCCCAAGGTGATAATGAAGACATTTACATTGAGCTCCAATTAAGTGAGGGAAATATGAATATAGCTAAGAAAGAAGGACTAGTGAAGAAGTTTAAGCTGACAACAACAATTGGAACATCAAACATGCACTTGTTTGATCTCCGCCGGTAATGCTCGCACCTGCGGCAACGAGCAAATCTCTGACGTGAGCAGATTATTAAGCATAGCGGAGCTAGGCCACCTTGGATCGGAAAACCAAAGGACGAGAACGTAATCGAGCAAAATCAGACAGCCACATGAAACCGAACACTAGGGAGCAGAGCAGATCAACCAGCCACGTAGCGTAGAGCGAGCGATTCAGCACCGGAAGGATATGAATCGAGATTCCGTCGGAAGCAAGGGGAGCACGAATAAGGAAGGATTCAATTCAAGGCGGGCGCGGTCGCTCACCCGTCGGGAGCCGTAGACGGGCGTCGCGGAGACCCGCGACCAGGCGCCGCCGGGACCCACGTCCAGGCATCGGAGCCGCCCGCTCCGCCCGCCCTGATGCCGCTCCACCCGCCCCTGCGCCCCGGCCCGCTCCGCGCCCACGTCGCCCCGATGCCGCACCTACTCCGCTCGCTACGATCCGACGCTTGCGCTTGCTTGACCGCCGCCGCGCCCGCCAAGACGCCGTCGCTGAACTGCCCGCCCTCCTCTCCTCTCCGATGCGGTCGGTGTCTTGTGGAGTCGAGAAACAGTCAGAAAGGGATAAGGTGCAGTGTGGGCATTTGGACTTTTCTTTTCAGGTTTGGAATTTTTTTAATTCATCTATTCAATTGGCATCTGACGGACATCCAAAGCAGGGGCAGACGGACAGTTCAGTTCAAAATAACAAGGGCAAAAACACAAAGTTAAAAAAATAGAGGCAAAATCACAATTGGAGTACTAGACAAGGGCAAGAACATAATTCTCCCCTAAAGTATATCCTTTGGCTGTGAAGGAATACATAGATAGGAAGGTGATTATCCATGTGTACACAGGTAATATAGTTGAGCATGGCACCTTACATTACTAAATATCTGAACTTGGCAAAGTAACATACATATGTCATGTATCATGACATATATTATCTTAACTAAATATCTGAATAATTCGACATGAATAAACTTGAACTCACAACCTGTGATTGTACTGGCCATGGCACAAATCGACCTGAACAAATTCGAGCTCACAGCCTGTGATGGTACTGTCCATAGCACATAGCACTAATCAAGACAGCTTACAAGCAAGGAAATAGCAAAATACCTTAGACATACTTATGAATGTACTGTTGCACCCTTGTCTCTTGGGTTTTTTTTGAATCAGTGAACCTGTTAATTTCAGTGAAGCTACAGCATCTTATTGAGCAATGCAATAGCATAGGAAACCATTCAGAAGGTATAGGAAAACTTGCAGCTGCTATTAGCACCATATTGTTTTTTAGTACCATAGGCTTTATGGAAGCTTATAAATAATCACATCCAAATGTAATGGAAGCACTAAAATAGAGCAAATTTACACTACTAACTACAAAGGAATCACCAGTTCTATAGGAATCGAGCTCAGGGCATCAAAGAACTAACCAAGTACTCCTGCGCCAAGTACTCCTCCATATCTATTTTACAATCCAGGATGTAAGTTAGATATCATATGCAAGGTTCAACTCTGCCAATATCTTTTATAGTCCTAACTAAATTGGAATGAACTCTACATGGAAATTACAGGATAACAATGTAAATGTATATAGCACTCAAAAGCTTGTATTCTAGAGGTGGTATAATTTAGAGTACACGTAGATACATGTCTATATTGCACTCCAGGTATCAATATAAGAAGTATGTCACTAAAAGAAATAGATTGTAACTCCATAATTATGGGAAGATGGCCCAGAAACTAAGCATACCTTTTTTCTTTCAAAAAGCCGACAACCATCTACATTAGAACAAATGCAACTATTTTATAACCATGCCCATCCAAACCTGCACATTGAAGGGAAAAATGTGAGGCAAAACTTTGTGGCTCATTGCTATGGCAACTGCAGCGCAACCAAGCTAACACTGTGAAGGTGAAAAACGCATGGGATAGAATGATAACTGAAAGGAACTTGCATATCCATGATTAATTAAAGACAGAATTATTTCATCTCTGGATGCGAATATGAGTTTTGCCAAGTGCATTAATTAAATAATTAAACTCAAGCGGCAAAGGACATAAAGGGGATTTAACGCTACCCACTCATAGATCTACTGATATGCTGAACAATATGGAGATGGGGATGGGGATTAGTGGAGAAATAACGTGTACTGCCATGAAAACAAAGAGCAGCTCTGCAAATCAAAGTTACACAGGTGTTCCCAATGCAGGGAAGCAAATAGATATATTGATATGTGCAGTAATGAGTAATAGATGGATAGATGGGAATGGAGATTAAGAGTAAGCACCTGGCTTTCCTTGTACAAATGGAATGAATCCATCAACCTGCAGCACAGATCGGAAGAGGAACACAGAGGAAACCGCAATAGGAGCAACAAACAGGAGAGGGATGGTCTTGCTTCAGCTGGGAGACGGCAAGAAGCGAATGGAGCAGAGGGGGTGCCACCGTGTACACGTAGAGCAGAGGAACCAGGTTAGGCTGGCGGGGGGGTGGCAGCGCTGCGGTGAACAGCGCACCATTGCGCAACTGTCGTGTGGGCGGGCATGACCGATCTTGCCGCCGCCGCCGCCCCGCCCGCGCCGGTTCCGCGAGGGAGAGGGGATCTAGGGTACGAGCCATGAGACGAGGGAAGAGAAGAAAAGGGTGACGTACCGATAGATTCTGTCGCCGAGTAGAACAGCGGGAGGAGGCAACTAGGGTTTTGTCAAGCCCAAGCAAATCAGCGGGAGGAGGCAGCGCCGAGGGGAAGCCACGCCGGCGGCCACCGTCTCGGCCCGATCGCGCCACTCCGTGGCCAGGAACAACGGCCGTGGGGGCGCAGGCGTCGTGCATGGAAAGGGTGCCGTCGCTGCCGCCCGCATCGGGGAGAGAGCGAGATCGAACGAAGAAGAGGATCAGGAAGCAGAAGTTTCAAGGAGAAGCAGAAGTCATATATATATATGTCTGATCGGCTTCGGACGAGAAGCTACTGAAGCAAAAGAGAAGCAGGAGGGAATCCGGGAAAGTGAAGGAATAGACCGGGAAGCCGCTCCCGGAAGAATCCACCCCAAGCAATCTAGACCATTGAACCGAAGATCTGATGGCCATGAGATTTTGGAGCAATGTGGCAGGTTGAGCATCGGCCAAACCAAACTATTTTGATATATAGAGATATGGTAGACACGTATTTTCTGGCAAAAATACACACGCTGGTTGCAGTGTACATGCCACATTAGATCTAACGGCAAAACGACAAAAAAAGCAATTTGAGAGTTGATGTTATTAGATGACAACCCCATTGACCCTGGTGCATTTTACTCTCAAAAATGGCATGTGACATACAGGTCACCGCCTCGGGGCAGTCCGTGTCAAGAGCTTACACAACAATGTTTTACATCAACAAATCTAGCGAGGTGTAGCTATCCTAAGAAACATGTATATTGTACATTGTACACGTTACGGCCTTCATAGGGTCATGGTTCTGATGGTCATCTCCTTAAGTGTAGTAACGGATCTGTGGAACAACTTCAGATTACGTCCAACTTTGTCCTGCAGGGCCAATAAAAAGAAGGTTTTAATACTCCAGACCAAATTAATCAACATAATCCATGTGAAAGCATCTTTACTCTTTTAAATTTATATGTTTAGCTATTGAACAACCAAATCCATATACTTTGATTTCTTGTTAATAGTGTAGCAGCATATCCCAGCATTAAACGTCTAATTTCTAGGTGCCAAGAGTACACCATGGTAGCCACCTAAAGCCCTAGTATATAGTACATATATGAGCTTTACCTCTTTCAAATGCTCTAGTCTCTCCAGCACAGTAAGGAGTTCATCAGAAAATGAAGAAAGACCTTTTGCAGAAGCACTGCAAATGCAGAGAAAATTGTTAATGTAAGAACAGAATAGTGAGCTATAAACCTTTAGTTAAACTGATAAGCATTCTTACTCGTCCTGAAAATGAATAAGGAGAATAGTAACGGCACATTCTGTTATTTGGAGTAGAAGGGTTATAAGCTGGTCTCGGTTGCCAGCCATGCAACACAAATCTATCATTGCAATGTACCTCCTGCAAATAAATAAAAAACTGTTACAGCACATATTGTTGAAGGATTAGTTAGACAAAATCAGCCAGTGTCAGAACAAAAAATATTGTGAAGATTCTGAGACAAAAATAAGAGCTTACCTCTTACGGATGTTATCATTGGGAGAGATACAATCTTGCTTCATGCATACTTTTATTATCTCATCAACCTCCTTTCTGGACAACTCATTCAAGTCACGGATCTAGATAACAAATTCAGACAAGTTAGCTTTAGTTATTGCAGGAAAAGTATGAACTACTACAGAATTCCAGATAATAGTGAACATTTTGCTCAATTCCATATCTGTATTTCGAGTTCATGTTGCCATGTATAACTTATCTTCTCCATACTTTAACCCGTTAAAACAAAATTCACTTCAAGTAAATTTGTGACCATGCAGGTCAGAAACACCAATACCTTGTTTAAAAGCATATATTTTTCATCACCTACTCTTTCTAGGGCAAGTGTTACTGAATTCAGAAGATCAGAAACCATTTGTAGTGTTGGGTGCTGCTGATCACTATTATGGCCATACGAAACCTGCAAATTCAAGGTGTTGCAAATACAGTCAGTGTCAAAAGATTTGGACATAAGAACTAATCCCTCTGCCCCTCATTTGTGCTGCCTGATTTTCTTTTAAGAAAAAACTCAACTTGCAACAACCACATTTTTCTTAGCAGAGGGAAGGTTTCAAGTATTACTCACTTGAAATCGCATGTTCTTCTTTGTAGCCAGAACATAAAGATAAGAGACAAGGCTGAAGCAAAGACCAAATGCTATCAATTCTGACTTATGATTCTGGTAGCAGCATGTAGAAGCATTAGAAAAGTTATATGGGTGCATAAAGCCATCATTACAATATAACTATTATAAAGAGGACTAAGCTCACCTCAATCATGTTTGGTGATTGCATAAGATTTAGAGAACCAAAGTCGAGGCTAAAAAGAGAATGCATCAAGGAAAATAGATCTTGAATATAGCTGCATTCCTCATTTTCCTCGTACGCCCAAACCTACAAAGTTTTTAGCACCTCTGAACCTCTACAACAGATTACAAGTGGCCAAAATCAAATACAAAGTGAATAGCAAACCTTGCTGAGAATAGAAACTGCCATGCTAAGCTGCTCCAATGTGAGCAAATTAGCTCCAGTCATGTTCTCCCTTAAAATGCTATTAAAAACCGACTGATGCTGCTTCGCAAAGTCCACTATCTCTCGTACAATCTTGTTCTTCACCTGAATCAAGAGTTAAACTTTATAAGGGACATTGGTATGGAAAATTCACAGAACTAAAGGACAAATGCATCGTGTAAAATTCATCACCAAGGCAACAAAGGTGATGTGATTCCTAAGGCAAGATTCTCAAAATTTCAAACTACACAGCAGTTAAGTTATGCAGGATCCAGCTATCAAAACTCCACATATATACCAAGATACAGTTCCTCTTAGTTAACAGTACATTGTAAAGTTAAGTTACATGTACCATTGACCCAGTAACGAACCACAGATACCAATTTTATTCATTGATGTTTTTCAAATTTATCACGATAAAATTGTGCGATGACTGTACTCTAACACTCAGTTCAGTTAGGAGATAAACCAATAATGTTTAGCAGACGCCCTACATACATATATCAGGCAAGAAATCTGGATATTCAAAATAAGCGAACCTCAAGAAAATCAGCCGAGTCCACAAGCGATGTAAAAGAGGTGACTATTCGCAGTACAGGTGTAATAAGTGACCTCTTCTTGTCAATTTCACCAATCCGTTCTTTTACGATTTTGGGAGCAAGTGGCACCTTTTTCTGCCCACCCATGAGGTTGCATGATGAAAGATTTTGTAAAGCACCCATGGACAACAGAATCTGAGCGCCATGTTTGCCATAATGATGACTTATTCTCAGCAGTAATGAAAACTGAGCATCGACAGTGCAAAACCGCTGTGAAGATTCTGATGCCCATGACGAATCCTGGAAAATACCAGAAAACTGATGACACAACATATCTGGGTAAAATTACAGACACGAAGAGGGGCAGGATGAATAGATGATCACAACAAAACCTGCATGAGGCATTTTCTAGACAAACCATTTTCATTTTCAGAGTGATTCATAGCTCATCTTTAGCATATGATACATGGTTCAGGGTGCATAAAACATGACAGATGTTTGTGCACCGCCTTTCATAAAAAAAAAGAGAATAACTAGAGTTCTGGAAATTATGAATATTCTCGAATACAGTTACAAAATAAATATCAATCCATCTCGAGCAAGTTCAGATATCCAAATACCTTGTATAGCGGCAAAATGTTAATGTAACTTTAGCCCCATATATCCAACTAAACTTAAACATACAATTCATTGTTCAACATATAAAGAAATAAAAGATACAATAATTTTAAAAGATTGTGCCCAAGCAGTTAGTGCTAAATAAAGTATGCACAATGCTGTACATATGTGAATAGCTCAGATAATACGGCAATGGAAAAGGATGATACCATATTTGCATCTATACTATTTGCTGTGAAAACAAACACAAACAGGAATGGCATGCTATGAAATAGGATATTAAATCAATACAAAAAAAATCTATTCTAAATAAATTGAGAAAATTGTCCATTATAAATCCCTTCTTGAAGTTGAAACAAGAAAATCAAAACCAGCAAGCTTGGCAATTAGGTAGATGCATTGAAAATCCTTTAGTTTTCCAGGAATGTCCTATCCTCTCTTCCCATCTAGAGGATTGGCAGTTCCCCCTGCGACACCTTAGCATGCACTATCCAACTCTTACCAGGTCACCAATGTAAGTTACAATTCTCCTATTTTCACATTACCCACCCGAGCATGCATAAAAAGAAAAAGAGTCCACAGAGTCATTTGTTTTCAAGAAAATCAGTAATATGAAAGTGGCGTGAATGCATGATAGCTAAAGCCTCCAACTTGGACAGCAGATTTCAAAATGGAAAAAAAAAACAAAAAAAAACAAGATAGAGTAGTGGGAGTAGTGGCAATACATACCTTTGACAAATAGTTTGTAACATCACTCAGACATGATCTAAGAATCCCTCGACTTTGAAGTTGATTTAAGAAATACTTTTCATGGTCAATACTAATTAATGCATCAAGAACATAAAAGGAAATTGCTTTCCCAGCTTCACTACCATGGACAGCATCCTTCGTAACCTGTAACAAGAATACAAAGAATGAACGGAGTACTAGATTACCTGTATGGTCAACCATTTGACTGGTTCGTTTAATCATCTTCAAACCTCAACAAGACGTGATGTTATAGTTGGTCAAAAGCACTAAGAGTATGGGTGACCAAAGAGCCAGCCCATCTATCTTTCACATCAAGATATAAGGATTAGGAAACTGATTGGATCAGTTAGTTGGTTTTTAGGACAATTATTAAGTTATTAGCTGCCCGCTCTATATATACAGAGGCATGGCGCCACAGCGGTCATTGGGAATCGAGCAATCAATGACAAATTAGTCCCAAGTATTCCCAATAGTCTAGTCTTCCTCCAAGCCAACTCTGCCCAGCTATCTTCCTGGCAGTGTTTATCCCTGTTAGAATAGGCGCCTATGGCTGGGCTGCCTCTAGGGATTATGGTAGATGATTATTGATTAGGCAAGGATCACCGTTGATTAGATGTTTCTATAAACCCTTCCTGATCCTTGCCTATATATGTACTCCTTGTACCCATATCAATCTATCACAATTTCCCGAGACCTATTTGCTCTCATGGTATCAGCCGCCTAGGTTTAGGTCTTCCCTTCCGCTGCACACCCCTGCGCGCCGGCCTCTGACCTCTGCCGTGCAGCGCCATGTCTCCCACTCCTCCGCCCTCTCCCAGGTCTGGGGATGTTACCGCTGACGAGATCGCGGCACGCCAGGCCAAGGAGAAGGCGAACGCCGCCGCCGCCGCCGCCCGCCCAACTTCTCAACAAGGAGCACTAGGCCGCCCTGCTCGCGCTGCCCAGGCCGAGGAGGAGGCTGCAGCCGCCGTCAAAGATCGCGACGCGGCTGCTGCCCGCGCCAGCGAAGCCCTAGCGCGCACAACCAAGGAGTGTGCGGCCGCCGCCGCCGCTGCCCTCGGTGCACCTGGGGGCGCCTCCTCCAGTACATCTTCGACGTCTCCTCCCGACCTCGCCTCAACCATCCTCCTCGATGAGGCCATGGCACTGCTGCAACTGCAAGCCCAGGCCGTCGCCGTCAACAACATCCGGAACCACGTCACCACCGTCCTCGACGTCGACTCCGGCAACTTCAACCGCTGGCGCGATCAGTTCCTGCTCATCCTCGGCAAGTTCTCTCTTCAGGACCACGTCCACGAGGAACCTCTAGCTCCGATCTCCCCTGACTGGGCTCGGATGGACTGCGTCGTCAAGTCCTGGATCGTCGCCACGCTCACCGACGACCTTGCCGAGATCATCTCCGCCCAGGCTCCACTGCCCGGCATGCCTGGCTTGCCGTCGAGTCCCAGTTCCTCGACAACCGGGAGGCTCGCTCCATCCACCTTGAGACGCGGTTTCGCAACTTCGTCCCAAGGAGACCTCTCGTCATCGACCATCGCCGCCGCCGGTGAAAGAAGATGGCTGACGACCTCACGGCTCTTGGCAAAGTGATCACCGACCGCACCCTCGTCCTTAACATGATCCGTAGGCCTCAACGAGCGCTTCAGCCACGTCGGGGCCCTCCTACGCCGCAGCCGGCCCTTCCCCACCTTCCTAGAGGCTCGTGATGACCTCATCCTTGAGGAACTCACATTGGAGAACAAGGAGTCCCCTGCCACTGCTCTCGCTGCCTCCACCGCAGCAGCAGGCTCCTCCAGTGCTGCCTCACCCACGTCCAACACGGGCTCCGGGGGCGCTGGCGGCCCTAAGTCCTCCAACGGCAATCGCCGCAGCAAGCGCGGCGGCGGTGGAAAGGGGGGCCCTGGTGGCAACAACAGCACTGGAGCCCAGCAGCAGCAGCAGACAGACAGCCAGCGCCCAGCAGCCTGCCACCGGTGGTCGCCCCTGGCCCAGTGTCTACAACCCATGGATGGGTTCCATTCAGATGTGGCCAGGGGGTCCTCGTCCTCCGCTGGCACCCATCCCGGTGCCTCCTCATCTGCAGGCACAGCAGCAGGCCCTCCTCGCCCAGCAGCAGCAGGCACTCGTCGCCCACCAGCAGCCTGCTGCCGTCGCTGCCCCTGATGGCTCAGGACAGTGGGTCGCCCCGGGGTACTACAATCCTGTGGCCGGCCTCCCTTCTTGGGACCAGACGGCCCTCGCCTCCGCCTTCAGCACGACGTCGCTGACCCCTCCTTCGTCCAACGAGTGGTACTTCGACACAGGTGCTACTTCACATATGACATCTCAGTCTTCCTCCCTTTCACATGTTCTATTCCCGTGGTATCCTACTCCTTCATCTATTGTTGTCGATAATGGTTCCATGCTTCCTGTTACTGCCACTGGCTCCACAGAGTTGTCCCCTACTTTACGTCTTAATAATGTTCTTGTGTTGCCACAACTTATTAAGAATCTCATCTCTGTGCGCCAATTCACTATCGACAACAACTGTTCTGTTGAGTTTGACCCCGCTGGTTGTTCTGTGAAGGTTCTTCCATCTCGGACCGAGATCGTCAGGTGCAATAGCTCTGGGCCGCTATATCCACTGCGCCTACCTCCAGCACACTCCTTTGTCGCCAAGGCTCCCTCCCCACTGTGGCATCGGCGTCTCGGTCACCCCGGTCATGAGGCTTGCGTCTACTGTTTCCTGTCATATTCAGGACTGTTCAGATCTATGTCACGCTTGTCAGTTAGGGCGTCATGTTCGTTTGCCCTTTCCTTCGTCCACCTCTCGTGCGTCTAGCAAGTTTGATCTTATTCATTGTGACTTGTGGACATCTCCAGTTGTCAGTGTTTCTGGTTACAAATACTATTTGGTCATACTTGATGATTGCACTCACTACTTGTGGACTTTTCCTTTGCGACTCAAATCTGACACTTACAGCACGGTTGCCCACTTCATCGCCCACGCCTCCACCCAATTTGGCGCCCACGTCAAGGCTGTCCAGTGCGACAACGGGAAAGAGTTTGACAACTCTAGCACCCGTCACTTCTTCTTCACCCAAGGCATCCATCTTCGTATGTCCTGCCCCTACACCTCGCCTCAAAATGGTAAAGCCAACGCATTATTCGCTCCATCAATAATGTCGTTTCGCTCATCGCTTTTTTTCAGCGCGTCTATGCCTCCCCTCCTCTCAAGCGGAGGCCCTCTCCAAATGACTTCCCTTACGCTTAACATACTACCCCACCAAGACTCTCTGAGCCTCTCCACGCCCACCTTGCCTGTAGACGGCACACATCACCGACGTATGATCACCTACGAGTCTTTGGCTCCAAGTGTTATCCAAACCTGTCCGCCACCGCTCCTCATAAACTCGCTCCTAGGTCTGCCTTGTACGTCTTCCTAGGCTATTCCGCTCACCACAAAGGATACCGCTGCCTTGACCTCTCCACCAATAGTCATCATCTCCTGGCACGTCATCTTCGATGAAACGGCCTTTCCCTTTGTTGAGCGCAATGGTCCTAGTATTCCGACGGACTTTGATTTTCTTGATGCTACTGATGTTGTGCCCGCTCCTATTGGACCGTTGCACAAGTTTTTGTCTGCAGGAACACCATCCAACACCTCTGACATCACCAGCGCCCCTGCCGGTCCCTCTCCGAGATCGTGCACAGGGGTGCCCCAGCGCGCCCGGTGGTGCGCTACGAATCCCCAGCCAGACATCGCTGATCCCCGGCGCCCGCGCTCTACATCCCGCTTCATGCTGCGGGACGCTGGACCCTCTCAGGCCACGCCACGCTGCTCAGACGCGCCGCCAACACGACTGGAGGCGCTCCACCTCGGCAGTTGTACATCCCGCCAACGCTTCGCGCGAGCTCACGGTCTCCAGCACCGACCACGAGCTCCACAGCGTCGGTGTCACCTCCTCAGGCACCCCGCGGGCCCCCGCCCGGGTTCCCGCCTCTTCGTCCAGACCGCGCCTTCGCCTACCACTACACGCGTCGGCCTCGACCACGGCTTCCTCCAGCTTCCTGCCAACCGCCCAAAGGCACACACACCGCCATGCCGCTCCCATCGCCCCAAGGGGATGTTGTTGTCCCTCCCCCAGACCAACCAAAGACGCCATGGGCACACGTTCGAAGAGCGATTTTCGGATGCCTGCTGCGTACCACGCTACATCTATGTCACCGATACCGAAGACCTTCCGTAGCGCTCTTGCCGACCCCATGTGGCGAGCTGCAATGGAAGAGGACACGAGCTGCCTCAAGAAGAATCACGCTTGGGATCTCGTGCCTCGACCCCCTGCCAACGTCGTCACCGGCAAGTGAATCTTCAAGCACAAGTTTCAATCTGATGGCTCCCTCGAAAGGCACAAGGTGCGCTGGGTTCTCCGCGGCTTTACCCAGCGGCCTAGTGTGGACTTTGATGAGACATTCAGTCCCGTGGTGAAGCCTGCTACTGTTCGCACGGTGCTCTCCCTGGGGCTCTCTCTCGCCGCTGGCCCATCCACTAGCTTGATGTGAAGAACGCCTTTCTTCATGGCAACCTAACAGAGACAGTTTATTGTCAGCAGCCGTCTAGGTTCGAAGATCCAGCTCATCCAGACTACGTTTGTCACCTGAAGAAGTCACTATATGGCCTCAAGCGGGCCCTCGTGCTGGTATAATGCAGTCGCACACACACACTTGTTTGTCCCCTTGGGTTTCTTGAAGCCAAGTCGACACACCTCGCTCTTCGCTTACCAAATACGGATCGATACGACCTACATTTGCTCTATGTTGATGACATCATCCTCACACCTCCTCCTCCGGCCTTCTTGGCGGATCATCTCACCCCTTCAAATGGGAGTTCGCTATGAAGGACCTTGGTGAACCGTGACATTACTTCCTCGGTATGCATGTTCAAATATAGCGATGGTGATGGCCTTCTTCTTTCTCAGCGACAATATATGCTGGACATTCTTGATCGCGTTGGGATGGAAAAGTGTAAGCCGTGTTCCACTCCAGTTGACACCAATCCGAAAATTGCTGCAGCAGATGGCACCCCTGTCTCTAACCCTTCAGACTTTCGTAGCCTCGCTAAAGCCTTACAGTACCTAACGTTCACCCGGCCGGATATTGCATATGCTGTGCAGCAAGTCTGTCTTCATATGCACGACCCTCGTGAGCCTCACCTTACAGCTCTGAAGCGGATTCTGCGCTATGTTTGAGGCACTCTCCACCTTGGTCTCCTGTTGCAACCGTCTACTTCGGCTGATCTTGTCGTCTACACCGACGCTGATTGGGTTGGTTGTCCAGACACCCACGAGTCCACCTCGGGCTATGCTGTGTTCCTTGGCGACAATCTTGTCTCCTGGTCCTTCAAGCGCCAGAACACGGTGTCAAGATCCAGTGCTGAAGCCAAGTATCGCGCGGTGGCCAATGGAGTTGCTGAGGCCACCTGGTTGCGCCAGCTTCTTCTAGAGCTGCATGCCCCTCTCCGGCGCGCCACACTGGTGTATTGCGACAACATCAGTGCCGTCTACATGACCTCCAACCCGATATAGCATCAGCGAACCAAGCACATTGAGATTGATCTTCACTTCGTCCGGGAGCGAGTCGCCATTGGTGATCTTCGTGTTCTGCGTGTTCCCACTTCTTCACAATATTCGGATATCTTCACCAAAGGGCTGCCTTCTTCAGTGTTCACGGAGTTCAGGTCCAGTCTAAACGTGCAGAGTGGCTGACGATTCGACTGCGGGGGCGTGTTAGAATAGGCGCCTATGGGCTGGACATGGGTCTGGTGCCCAAGCCTATCGGCTGGGCTGCCTCTAGGGATTATGATAGATGATTATTGATTAGGCAAGGATCACCGTTGATTGGGTGTTTCTATAAACCCTTCCTGATCCTTGCCTATACAATGTACTCCCTGTACCCATATCAATCTATCACAATTTTCCGAGACCTATTCGCTCTCAATCCCTAATGATCTTATACTTTGCCTTGGGATCTCAGAAATTATAAGTGGGAACGTTTGATTATTGAGAACCAGCTAGCTGCTATAGAATGCAGAGTCAGTCAATTACAAATTAAAAATGGAATTCGGCAAAAATAAACACAATAACATTGGAACTACTGCGACAAAATATATCCAGATACAAATCTCGCATGCAAATATACAACAGATGTCCCTTTGAGTTCCCTTAGCACCATGTCCAAACAAAACTATCAATTGCCTATTATAGTTCTACTTTAACAATATTGTTAGAGTATATTTGGTAGGTAGGATACTGTAACCTAGTACTACCATATGTGTCGGGGGAGGTGTCTTGTCTCCCAAGTCTCTGTACTCTATATATACCGCTTGAGAGGCTCAATGCATTATACAAAATCCTTCCTGCTTTCAGATATGATACACAGCTCTAATGTGTATTCAAGTTTATTTTACTATCACAGCATGGCAAGTATTTAGAATAATCATAAACTGGACTAAAGCGTGTCAACAAAGTAGGCAGTAACTCATTCCTGGATTAAGTGCCTAGAGTTAAAAGGATAAATGTACTGGAATCAGCAGTGATGCAAAAGAAACTGATAGGGACCAGAAGCTATCTTTAGTACAATGTTCAGAATTATATTGCACTACAAAATAAAAAATGTGATGCAACACATTGTCACACACATGTTCTTTACTGATTTGTTAACAGGAATAACAGCTATAGTTTTGTTCTAGGAATGCTCAGTTTTCATATCCTTAATTTCTATACTCGTCAAGAGGCGTAAAACCTTTTAATTATACATGAATACCTTTTGTTGTTTCATATCCTTTTGGTGCAAGCGGTAGAGTCTTACCGCCTGTGACCGGAAGGTCCCGGGTTCGAGTCACGGTCTCCTCGCATTGCACAGGCGAGAGTAAGGCTTGCCACTGACATCCTTCCTCAAACCCTGCACAGAGCGGGAGCTCTCTACACTGGGTACACCCTTTTTTTCATATTGTTACTTTATTAGGGTCAATTGCTGCTAAAATTTGGAATATTTTTTATGGTAGTTGCATACTGTTAACCAGTGTCAGGTTGGCGTGTTACAGGTGATGACAGGCTGAGTTACTGATATCACCAATCCATGCCATCAGCCAGACATGCTTTTACAGTGAGTTATGTTTCCCTTGCACAAACACAAACATATTAAAAATATGCGAGTGTCACATGAACAGAATGGCATACCAAATCAACGATAGCTTGAGCTTCCTTCCTTATGATGGAAAAGTTGGCATGTGCTAATTCACTGTGCTCCTTGAGAACCTTTAGAAGGACAAAGAACTATCAGGCAATAGTCACTATATAAAAGGAAGTAAGGTAATGCAACAGAGATGGACCTTTTGAAGAGTGATGTCCTCATCATCACCCTCTTGCTCCTCCAGTAGCAAGAAGCGAAGAACAGATGGAGGGACATCAGAGTCAAGAATGCTACTACAATACTGAAAATAACTCAGTAATAATGCATATTGCCTGCAGAGGGCGACTGAAGGTCAGTATTCACATAAGGTGAAGAGGAACATTGAAATAAGGAGTCGGTTAGTGGCGCTAACAGTCACCAACTACATCTACATTACCGTCTTCTCAAGGTTTCAGATGATTCATTTCTTAGTGTTGCCATCACAAGCTTGAATAGCAATGAGTTACAAGCTGCATTTGGTAGCTGCTTTGACGAAATAATGTCAAGGCAAGAAACCGCATCAGAATCTGTACCAGCTGGGCATATGAATCTTTCATCCCGCAGTTTAGCCATACAGGTCAACGATACCTTAAAATGACCACCCAAATAAGTTCAGAACATATACAGAAGGTGTGGTACAAGACTAGGAGAATGGAATTTAACAAATAAGAACAAGCTTCTTACATTCGTTAAAACATATGCCATTTTCACTGAACAATCTGGAGATGTTGTGGCATTCAATGAAGCATCAAGCAGCCTGCATAAATCAATATTGGTACAGTTATCGAAATAATAGTTTTTCATTTTGCATGAAGGGAGGCACCACTCACTCAAACAATAGCTGAGAACGGTCCTCAAATAATGACATCCTTCTTGATACAGCAACCTGGTTTTCATAAACAGAAAACAGCACATCACATAAAATTTTCCAACCTACACAAAGGATAAGCAGATGAGGATAAACCCAACTCACTTCAACAATCTGTGACCAACCAGTTAACATGTGAAGTTGGGCAGCCTGCTCTTCAAGATTTTTGTTATATCGCCAAGCCCATTTCAGCAAATGATGAACTGATTCTTTTAGTCTGGCTTTCTCAGACTCGCTTAATTGTGAGTTCAATTCTTGTGACATCTAAATAACAAAAGAACAATTAATTAAACACAAGATCAATTTTGAAAGCAAAAATCAAACATAAAAAGGACGCATGAAAATGAACACACAACCTGGAGAAGTTTTTCATGGAAAGCATCAAGATCAATCAGTCGATCACCTCTCTCTGAATAATAATATACACCACCATTTTCAAAAGTTGCAGAGTTCCTTAGGATCTCTTCAATCTGTGCACCAAAATATAGTGAGAACTAAAAAAAACTAAGGAACTGGAAGTTTAAAGGCCATACCTTCGATTCAATTCCCAGGTTGGAAAGCAGCTGTGGATACTTCATTGAAGTGTCCGGACATCTGAACTGTAGAACCTCAAGCAAGTCCAAAACCTAAGTGCAACGTTTCAAGTGATATAAGGTTCTGGATAATGGATATGTAGATCAAATATCATACTTGACCAGCAAATGAATGAGGTTTTAAACTCTCCTTATCTAACTAGTTTTTAAAAACCATATATGGTGTATGGTGTGCATGTCACTGCAGATTTCAATGGCCACATGAAAGCAAGCTTAATAAGGACCATGAAAGTATACAGACATAGCTTTGCACAAACAAAACTTAAAAAGGTTAAAAAGTCACAAAAAGGTGTATATATAAGACACGATTTATTCATCGCCAAGAAAAAAGCAGCAGACTCTTTAGTCCCAATCAATTTGGTGCAGGCTAGAGATGAAACTAACAAGAGACACCATTGACAAGAAACAAAAATTTAAAAGAAAAAAAAAACACATAAAAAGGAGAGTGATACGCTAGGTTATGTCTTGGGCACATGGATTGCTGGTTTCCATTCCACACCTCCTATCCAAGGATTCATCACCTTGAAAAAAATAGAAAATGAGGGAGTGGGGGGATAACAGATGCCTAATGTTACCTTATTCCTCTTTGCTGGTACATCGCTGATGCTAGTCAAAGCACGTGAATCGAACAAACTTGTGCTCTGGAAGTTCTCAGCACACTGACCAAAAGTATGATAAAGAATAGACACGCAGGCTTCCCTGTATACAGATGACGATATATCGGATATATGTAATGCCAGTGCTAACATCTTTAGCAACCATGCCCTCTGAAAATAAACAAATCAAGGTTTTAACAGAATGAAAAATACCAACATAGCTAAATATGGCAGGAGACCATCAAAAGCAATAGCAGCCTAAAAACAGCCATGCACCTAAATTTTGCTGTTCAAATGCAATTTATAAATAGCAGAATTTCAATGTTTCGAATATGCAATCATGTATGACTGGAGCACTGTTACTACTATGCCGATCCAATTGTAACCCCAGTAGTAACTGCTGTGCCATTTATCAAGGATAATTCAATATAAGGTTCATTTTACAATAGATTGGCATCATAAAACATTAGCAAAGGTTACATCACACTTGCACTTCTATTAATTTCTGAGTGTCCTAAGTAATTAAGATTTTGACGAAAGAAGAAATCTCAATGTATACCTCATGGAGCATGCTGATACGAAGAGATTGGTTACTGTTCCTTTTCGGGAGCGGTGTCACTCCGATGGTTCCAACATGCTGACATTAGTGGGCAAGGAAAATATGAGTTCTAACTAAATGTTGTTATAATGATGCAAAAGAACAGACAAGAAATTAAACCTTAGAAAAGAACTGGTACTTCTTTGTACTCAGGAGATCCATAACAGGCCCACAAGTTAAAGGATCAAGACATAACTCGTAGAGAAGCTGAATTAAGATGGAAAAAATCCAATTATAACATAAAAATAAGATGAAAAATCTCACATCTGACTACTAAGCCAAAAAAATCAAACCTGAAAACTGAATTCGTGCAGTAAGGCATTTATCTCTGGCTTTGTCGCTTTTTCAAGATTTTCAAGGATTATCTTCAAACAACTGAGATATAATGAGATGAGTTCAATTGAATTAATAAAATATATCACTACACAATAAAGGCAGAGTCTAGAGTTAACCTGTAGTGGGATTTTGGTTTTAGAACTGTTTGCTCAATGGATCCATTGACATCAAATCCCAAGAGCAAATGTGTAATGTTTGGAGCTGGACGACAAATATTGTCAACAAGCAACTGCATATATATAATTGATTAGCATAATTAAAACACAGCCCGTCAAATGGATCTCCAAGGTCAAAGGAAATACAAATCACAACCTGCAGTATTAGAACTCCAACATCATCTTTCGTGTCTTCTATGACCTGAAAATCATCAAACCGGAACTCCAAGCAAGCAGCATAATCTTCTATTACCATTTTTCCAACATCAGCTTTCAAAAGCAACTGTACCAAACCAACTATTCTAGAACTGCCGTAAAATAAACAAACCGTAAGAACACAAATAAGCAAACTAGCACACTACAATTTGTTACAGAAATTTCACATATGGAATTAAAAGCAGACATTTAATAGCAGAGTGGCAGCACAAAGGAAAAACATAAGTAATTTGAATTTACCTCAGGATGCCCATAATTTTGATAGAACACTGTTGAATTTGGGGAAGATAATCATATCGTACAAACTCTAGCAATGCTACAATCTGCCTCTGACTTTGAGCTAATATAACATCCAATGGCTGCATAATCCCAAATGAAAGCAGAAAAACAGTTAGATGAAGTAACGACCAGGCAAAACCCCACAGTTGAGATAGACGAAATGCAAAACCTGGTAGAGTGGCCGAAAAACATCAGCAAGAGCCAGATCTCTCTCCATGACAAGAATAAATATTTCAAGAGATAGATGGACAGCTTTCTCCAAAATGATACCGTATGTTTGGGTAGTTCGCTCCTTGATAAGAGAGTCAACACCCACTAATATGATGTTCATAATATTCCGGAAAGCAACTTTCCCACTCATGAAATCCTGAGTCAAAATTCCACAACCATAAATTATAAATAATGTACAAATAGAGGTGCAATAGAAGTCTATGCAAAACTTTAGTATCTTTAAACAGACATACATACATGGGAAAAAAAATATGCCACAGAGCAAAAGGCAAACAAGCAAGCACTTATCCACCTAAGCAAAGCATATTAATTCAGGTGATCTGAAGGACATAAACATATAATTCTCTGCTAAAGATAAAGAAAAGCTTTTAAAACAAGAACATCACCATATATATTGTGATTTGTGAACATGAAATATCAAATCAGTAGTACATTCTAGAAAGAACAATTATTTTTTTAGCTCATACTACTGCTATATAGGAAGTATACGTGGAAAGAAATCTCACAGCTCACTATTTGACCGGTGACCCTAGTTAGTGTTCTCTGGCCTACAGTTCTGAATACAGCAGACAATATGTATTTGCCTATGTTTGTTAGCAATATTCATACATAATTCTAACCATAGCACATAGCTCCACCTCTACTATGTGATCCTGAAAACATGCTAAATGCCTGTCAACACTAGCTGAGAAATATTATAGGCACGTCAAGGAGGGAATCTTCAGTAAGGAGTGTGCAACATTTGCAATGAAAAGTGTTCCAATGGCAACATGATTTTCAATCAACTTCCAAGTAGTATAAATAATCCCAGACTGAGCATCAGTAATATGTTATCAATTAAGGCATCTCAAAATCAGTACATGGACATACTTTGAGTAGTTCTAGCAGAGGGAGCTGTCTCGAGATAGAGGAAGGAGCTAATGTGTTCACAGAAGCATAAATATCATCATCCTTTATGTCATACATGCTCAAAACCCTGTATAAACAATAGACAATTAGTTACCAAGTGGACTGCTGCATTTTACGGCAAAAAATGTCTCAGGGATTAGTAGATCAAAAAAGAAGCTATCCTGGTATAAGGGCGTATTTGCATCATCAGGGTTCACATTGCATGGTTCCCCGTCCAAAAAAAAAGATAAGCAATTAGATTTTCAAACAAAAAATCATTCTACTCACATGCGGAAATGCTCCAAGCAGGCAAGTGCGAGCTCCCATTTTTCCAGGGGGTCAGCATAAGCTCTTTGAGGAAAAGGACCAAAGACATCCTCATAAACAAACTTAAAGATACCCATGAACCTGTTAGAAAAAGTATGAACCTGTTAGAAAAAGTATCTTACTCTCAAAGATGTTGAAGGTGAGGATATGAAACAAAAAAAATCAGTTAAAAGTATGCACCTCCGGCCTTTGTCACTTATGTTTCTTTCTTCTACAATAAGTGCATTGATCAATCTGAGGAAAGATATGGTTGAGGGGTAACTCTCCCTCCTCGCTTCTACTTCATTCAACTCAAACCTCATATCATAGACCTACCACCAACATAGAACAATTAGATATTGTATAGTTTTCTCGAATAGATTAGAGACTATAGTAGTATTTTTCATATGAATATTAGTAGACCTTATGTTAGATTCCGCTGATAGTTGATTTTACACCAAATATCAAACAAAAGAAAGCTGACCACCTATCATTAAGGGTTTGGCCAGAATAGATTGAAGTATTCTGTGTATATTTATTGACTCATAGGTCGAACGAAAATAAATGAGAAACGAATTGGGTTGCAACTTCAACAATCTTTAGTTTTTGTTTTCCAATGCATCAGATATTCAGATGACAGGCACCAAATCCTCAGATAGAGGAAGCTGTAGTTGCTTTAAGACCTAAAGAAACAGGCCTTGCTTCACATAAACTAAATGTTTTGTTAGTTTTTTCATCAAAAACTAACACTAAGGACAAAAGACAACTAGTAAAATGCATAATGGTCTGAATTTTTTTTATTTTTAACCTTATTCAATTATTAGTTTATAATAACCCACCTAAAAAAACATTTGCAAATCTAACCCTTCTGACCGTACCAAGTAGCTGACATGGCACCGGGGTTGTCACACTGAAGCCTTTAGACGCGAACGCGACAGCGCTATCGCACCAGTCCGCATGGTGTGGCAGCTGCAGTTAAAACGCTTCTCTCCACGCGCTGCTCGTCTTCCACTCCATCTCTTTTTCCTCCTGCTATTAACATGGCTCGCCGCGTGTGGTTCAGGAGGAAAAGAGAGACAGATGGATGAAGACAAGCGACACATCGTTTTTTTAACTGTGGCTGCCACGCCAAGCAGACTAGCACGATAGCGCTACCGCTCCAACGCGTTCAGCACAAGCCTTGCACCATGTCACCCAGTTGCACCAGCGTGGCAACATTGCTGGGTTGATGCATGCGGCGCGGGCAGCATGGTCCTGTCGCGCCACGACGCTTGGTGCTGCCAAAAGAGTTAGATTTGCAAAAAAAAAAATGAGTGGGTTATTTTTAAAATAAGATTACAAAAAATCGCTCCCTCTCGGGTGCAAAAACAGAGATCAAAGACTCTGTCCTCACTTTGATATTGTTTCCATATTGAGGGGGTCGAAGGCATCAACCCTTGATCCAGGAACGTCATCCCTGACCCAGGTACGCGGGGTCATTTTCGACCCTGCCATGTAAAAACCTCTCGTGAGTAGTGTATCACGTTCCTCGACCCTGTCAACTAGGAAACCTTGTGACTATGCTCCAGGGTATCAACAAGCTTTAATTGCTGCTTCCATTGCATCATTCAAGCGATGGGTGCCAAGCCTTTCCTTAGAAGAAGCTGACCAGTTAAGAACCAGAACTTGCACTACCTAACCTAAGTGCTTGCTAGTTGTCATAAATAATTGGCATTCTAAGAAAGTTGTGGTTTTAGAGATTAGGTATTAAGGCAACCAAAACAAGAGAGAACAAGGGAATAAACATCAAATAGTAAAATCATATAAACTGAGAAATAGTTGATTCCCAACTACAAAATATAAACCACAATCAAACATAGTAGCGTCCAGATGAGAGCACTAAGGGTAAGGGAAATGATAGACTAGAGACTTAGATGCAAGGTTAAGAGCTATATGAAATACTAAATGTGTTATTATTGAATATTATTCACAGATTCATTGTTTGTCACAACAGAAAAAAACTCTGCATACAAGGTTAATTTTCCTAATTCATTGTACTTAATAAAAAATATGTGAAAAAAGAAGAAAATAGGATTTTTTTATACTCCGTCCGATCACAAAATAGTGTCATTTGGGGTGGCATTCAGTCAACATGTTTTAACTTTGACCATAAATGTTGCTTTTAACATATCAGTTTAAATTTTTAAAACGGTATAGCTAGATTTTATCTTGAAAAAATTCATAATACATTAACATTACAGATTTGATATTACCCATATGTTTTACGTAAGCAATTAGTGGTCAAAGTAATAGGTTGATGGTTGTGTCGAGGCCCAAAACGACACTTTTATGACTAGAGGAATTATGTTGCTTTGCTTGAGGACCAAAAAAATGAGTTAGAAAGTAGCCAGTAAAATTAGGAAATTAGTGAAATGGTGAACATTAAGGGTACCTGTGTTGCTGTATGGTGACCTAATGGAGCCGTAACCACCGGAAGATCATATTGCTCAAGATAATTCCAAATAGCATCTTTTAGTAGGGGTGACACTTTGATAAATGCAGTTATTGAATTTCGCAAAGCCCCCTGCACATGTTTCAAGCACATATTACGAGAAAACATATCCGCGACCTAACTAAAAAAAGAAAGGATGTCAGATGTACAGATGGACTCAAAACATAAATGCTTGTACCTTCAAGTACGGAGGCACATTTTCATAGCTGAGAAGCTTGAATAAAGGTTCAATGTCAGGGAACCACTTCTTGCGTTCCATAGGATTCCCATTTTCCACCACCTACATGTTCACAATCTAATGATTTATCTAATCAAGTAGACAATTCAAAGCAACTTCCTTCGAGAAAACAAATCACAACAGCAACAGTAATCACTATGCATGATGAACAAAGCACTTTATGAGACACATAGCGCATCTGGCATAACAAGCTACTTGGTAGTAGTAATTTATGGCCAGTACAGCTGAGGGACCAGAAGCATATTGATTCATTGAAATTTCTACTGAGCTTCCAGAAGCTCGATGCAGCTGTAAGCCTGTAACAGAACCTCTCAAATGGGTTATAAGATAAGCAAGACTGATATGCTGAGACTAAGGCTGATTATATTTTCTGATTTTTCAAAGAAACATGCATAGCTGATGATGTTCAGTCACAACTACAGAATTGAAGTGTAAAAGAGATGCAGCAAAATCATGACATCCACAACATAGGCTACGATGATAAAAAAAACTTCAGGATGACGATATAGCCATGGAAAGTGGAGCGTAATGCTAAAGGTAATATATATAGTGATTCCAAATTCATCATCGTCAGAGGTGCAAGTGCAGTTTACTGTGAACAAAGCTGACCAAGATGAACAAAACAAATGAATAAGTGCAAGAAATCTCACACCTTCTGAAGAACAGCTAAATATGCAACAAGTGCCTGTGCATCCCCCTCAGGAAAATCAGGCGGTATGTTTGAAGAAGATTGAATCGATTTTTTGAACTTCTCCTCATAGATAGATAAGCAATCAAACAAAGTGCTCCAACCCACTGAACGGTAAGTTTTTCCTTGGAGAAGCTCATAGACTTTGGCAGCACCAACTTCGGTGGAAGCCTGACAAAATTGTTCAGTCAGCGCAAACAATGGAAAACTGAACAGACCAGTAACCATAATGCATACCAAAGTACTGAGAAGTCCAAGGAAGGCCACAAGAGTTTGTGTGTTGGTGTGGTCTTCTCCTGCATATATAACAAAGGTCCACAGTTCATCATTTCCATTCCCTAGCTCAGGCTCTTTCTGAAGACAACACACAAAAAAAAAAAATGTTATTGCTATGTAAACTTCTCAAACCAAAACACAGAAAAAAAGGAACATTCGAGAGATCATACAAAATATCATGCCTTATTGAGAACGATGGACATACAGTTTTGCACATATAGTAGACTGAAAAAGACTAATCAAATAGATGTGTTCAATAGAAATGCAGTAACCTTACTAGCATCTAATGTGCTTTCAAAATATTATTACTGCTTCATGTACATTTGTAAGATCAAATCACGGGGTTCGAAGTGATGCCGAGAAAATATTTAAATTCCACAAATGAAAATGCATGATCATGCTTCTGATGGTCACAGATGGAAGCAATTACTAGACTAGAGAGAAAATTTTAACCTTGAATCGGAAACGAGTCAAGAGTCTACAAAACAGTCAAACTAAACGTTGCATTATACTACAAAGGTCAACAGTAGTTGAAATAGATGCATCAATTACATTTCATCACATGTCATCGTGGCATAGTGTGTCTGACTGCCTCAAGGGTATCCAACTCAGTAAAAGAAATATTGGTCGTGAGAAAGAGAAACAACAATCGAGCTTGGACACATGTTGCTAGAATCTGACTCGGACTCAAGTTCACAAACCGGCAAAAAGAAAAATGAACACTGGTGTCCTAGTAGCATTTGATAGTCATTCAATTTATCATTGATATAGGCCCTAGAATGGTATTTCGAAAGGTTTTTACATCCCAAAATGACTCCAATGAGTGCAGAATGTTGTGTGCACATGCAAAAAGTTTTTTTTTTTAAAGTCCACTTTGCCCAGGACACAGAGAAGCAAAAAGACAGCAATGCAGGAATAATGCATGATGCATCGTTTGATTTCTACTTTTACTTTGCAACAATGCATTTGCATCTATTACCCAGGAAGAACTAGCACTAGCTATTACCAAGTGGTCACACAAGATGACATAAATATATCATTATAAAAAAAGACAAGATTAACACATGGGAGGACACTAGACCCATGTCAAGCTAAATCATACATGTTTTCAGGTCCACAGATTTGATTCGACTATATAAATGACAGAAGCATTACCTGATAGATTTCTCTAACTAGTTCCAGCAGGGATACAAAAGGCTCCTTAGTAGGCTGATCAACTTGTTCCCCATTTCTACCAAGATCTTCCCGATGACCCCGCAGTGGCCCATATGGACTGAGGGCAGTCATTGCTTTCTCCTTAATTTCCTTTATCTGTCAAGAAAATAATATTATCGATTTTGCACACAGAATGAAGAAAGTTACTTGCATGCTATCCCCATCATAGGACACTAATCATATAGTGACCACAAGAGGTTGCAAGACAGGAAAATGGATACTCCCTCCATGTTTAAATATATGACACCACTGACTTTCGCACATGACATTTGACCATTTGTCTTTTAGGAAAAAAAAACTATGTAAGTATTATTTATTTTGTTGTGACTTGTTATATCATTAAAGATACTGTCAGCTTGACTTATATTCTTGCATATTTGCAATAAATATTTCAATAAGACGAATGGTCAAAGCTTGTGTGAAGAAGTCAATAGTGTAATATATGTTTACAAATGGAGGGAGTATTCTACTAGGGTTTTTTTTTTTTCTCAAACAAGAGTATTCTACTAGGTTACTATATGCTTCAATGAAGTACTCCTCTAACCTTATCTCTAGAAGTAGGGTGGGAAATAAAGCACATCATTAGCTTGTGAGTGTAGCCAGTGTACATGTAGACAATGTCCTCATCATCATTCTGCATTAGATGAGAAGAAATAATGATAAACAAGAAAAAACACTGTACTATATTATCTAAATAAAATATGTTTGATATTCTTGGAAACAAACTTTGACCACTAAGGCATTAATACATGAGAATTATCAAGAATGGCCACAAGAAATACTAACGCCTCTTTCGGTGGAGCCAATCTATGATTCTACATATATCAGTGGACAAGCTTTGATAGCGGACGTAAATACAATAGTAGCATGATCAAATTCAACAGCAATTACAAATGAGCATGTTCTGTTGCCATTACAAAGAGTCAGGATGCAATACAACAACAACAATAACAACAAAGCCTTTAAGTCCCAAACAAGTTGGGGTAGGCTAGAGTTGAAACCCAGCAGAAGCAATCAAGGTTCAGGCACGTGAATAGTTGTTTTACAAGCACTCCTATCTAAGGCTAAGTCTTTGGGTATATTCCATCCTTTCAAGTCTCCTTTTATTGCCTCTACCCAAGTCAACTTCGGTCTTCCTCTGCCTCTCTTCACGTTTATCCTAACTTAGGATTCCACTACGCACCGGTGCCTCTCGAGGTCTCCGTTGGACATGTCCAAACCATCTCAACCGGTGTTGGACAAGCTTTTCTTCAATTGGTGCTACCCCTAATCTATCACGTATATCATCGTTCCGAACTCGATCCCTTCTTGTATGACCGCAAATCCTTTCCGCGACACTTATCTCATTGAACATGTCGCCTTTTCAGTGGCCAACATTCTCGCACCATACAACATAGCAGGTCTAATCGCCGTCCTATAAAACTTGCCTTTTAGCTTCTGTGGTACCCTTTTGTCACATAGGACACCAGATGCTTGGCGCCACTTCATCCACCCTGCTTTGATTCTATGGCTAACATCTTCATCAATATCCCCGTCTCTCTGTAGCATTGATCCTAAATATCGAAAGGTATCCTTTCCTGAAACAATTTTTTGGTTGGTTGGTTGGGTCACCCTGCCGGCCTGCCCTATGGAGATGTTAGGTTGGCTGCACAAAGACGAGACACATAATACATAGAAACAAGGTGTTACCATGGTGTTCATTTACAGAAGGATACTCCTAGACTACCTTATCTGCTTTAAGATATACTAATATCACATAATATGCACTAATCATGTTTGGCTGAACCTGCTCCCCATATAAGGCCGACTTGCACGGTTCCCATGGGCTTGGATTTCAAGAGAGCAAGGATTTCAAATTGAGGAAAGATTATGAATGGAATAAAGCTAGAAATGGAACCAACAGAAGTCAACTAAAAGGAGGGGGGGTGCGGCAGACCCAGTGCCGGAGGCTCCCATGAGTGGGGTCTGGGGAAGGGAAAAACCGAGGCAAGCCTTCCCCCCGCAAAATCTGCGGAGAAGCTACTTCGAACCCATGACCTGGTGACTCAGTGAGACAGCTCTCACCACTGCACCAAGCCTGCCCTTCAACATAAGTCAACTAGATAAAGGGATTTTTTTTTAATTTGCTTCTAGTATGTCACAATGCAAATCAAACTAATACAATTGGTAGAGACAACAGATTAACATGACAAACAAAGGGAAACATACAGAGAAATTTACTGGGGCAAGATTATGCAAACACATTAGAATATAATATGTGGAGGACACGAAACATTTCAATTTTTTTAAAAAAAATATTTGCACAACCCTTAGGACCATGGTTAACTGGACAAGTGGACATACAATGGAATAAGACTGCATTGAAATCCAGATTTGGTATAAGACTGCATTGAAACCCAGATTTGCTATACCTGGTATGCAGCTGTTTTCAAAACTTGCTCCCGCAAAAACTCAAAAGAATTTTGATGACAGATAGTTTCCAAACATGACCAAAATATCTGACATTTCTCTTGAATTACTTCGATCTTGAGTTAGCATCAAATGAACAGACCACGCAAGTCTCACAACACCAACAAACCCTTCAATAGTCGAATTGTTACCTGTCCTCGTCACCTAAAAGAAATCATAGATTGCAATGATAAAACATTTGTATGTTCAATCAAAGTATTAAACAGTGATCAGTGAAGATGCACATATCAAAGCTTACAAGTTCATGAAATTCGCGTCTAAATGAGGAATCAGACGATGACAATGATGCTTTCTCAAGAGTACTTAGGGCATCAGAAATAAAAGTTGCCACAAGAGAGAACAGAACTCCATAGGTGATCTGCAATGATAGAGTTAGTAACTTTTTGTAACAACATAGCATTATACAGATGCACACAAACAACATGTCAACAACCATCATGCCATTCCAAAGTAATTGGTTCAAACTTCAAACCTGGAGCTCCACACTACTATTTTGATTTGCTTCAGCTGCACAGTCTTTCAATATTGAAAATACATCCTTAACCTCTCTGAGGCCTAAATGAAATTGCATAAAGCATTAGTCCTTGCTTCCCATAAATTGACATGTCCAAAAGGTTATACAAGCACAGCACGAAGGCTCATGCCAATGAATGATTAACACCACCTGGTAAGCGCTAGGAAAAAAATGTTTAATTTGATAAGAGGCAATTTAAAATAAGTTTTAACTTACTCATTAGTTTAATAAGTGCAGAAAGAGCGAGGCAGTGGCTCAAACTTAATCTCTCTCTTGAGACAATTGCCCTTCTTTCCACAAGAGCCCCTCTGAAATCAAGCACATAACGCTCAGAGCTTGGTTGGCCAATTCCAGCTGGTTCTTCCCGGTTCAGCTCCTTTTATGGAAAGTCAAATATACCTCAATCATCATTTCTCACAAAGAAAAAGAACTAAACCTTTGAAGGTGCATTTTTAAAATGATTTTTAAGCTGTACTAGTTGCTAAGAAGTAGCTGGAATTAACTAGCTTTGGATATACCTGCGAAAAAAATAATAAACAGTTGAGTAGTTGACCAGGGAGAAGCCAGCACAAACCAACATAAGACCACCTAGCTTAGTGCAGAAGATCAACCCCTGCCCTTGTACACTATTTTACATGTTGTTAAGCCATTAAACTTGAGCCCAAAGGAACCATTCTTTGAGTGCTGAGTTTACAGGACGTGGCCTTAACATCACCATGATTGTTTTTTCAAAAATGTGCCCAATTCAATTTGTTGAAGGACGTGGCCTTAACATCACCATGATTGTTTTTTAAAAAATGTGTCCAATTCAATTTGTTGAACAAAAATGAAAAGGCATGCAAATGGTGTATTCAAGTTTCATCAGGTCCAACCTTTACAAGGGCAATTATCCGTTGCCGAAGACCATCATTAAATAAAGGCTGTATTTGCTCCTCAATTTCAGACATCAGATCAGCATCAAGACCTTGGTCAAGTGCAACAGACTACAAAGGTCATGAAAAAAATCAAAATCATCCTTCAAGAAAAGTTATTCCAAAATTAGAATGAAAATGATTAGTATATTACTCGCAACAGAATGTACAGAGCGGTTATAAGATCCCTTCTCTCCATGTACCATAGGCCAGCTGCAAGTCTATATATTTCCAATGTCTCTCGACCATACAAAACCCACTGAAAAATCACCACATGGATGCATGTAAGATGGTCAAATAACAGTTCAAACTTGGCTAATAACAATAGAGCAATGAACTTGAATTCTGCAAATCATACCTCTCTGTTAGCATCAACTAGCAAACGAACACACTCAATCTCATTAAGATTGAGTTCATCACTTAACTTAAGCGCCTGAAAAACATATAGATACAAATTTGAAGTCTTGAGAAAAGCAAAAGTGAAACTGCTAAATACTGCTATCATAAATCAAAGGCATAAGTAGATCAATTGACAAAAATACAGGTCATGCTCTCATGGGGATTCGTAGAGACAAATAAAAAGACAAGTTGTGCCTCACGGGGATTCATAATTATTAAGAGCACGTGGTAAAGATTTGCGGGTGCAACCACAGGTAAGAATCCAGCTAGCACAGTAGAGTAAAGAATATATTGCACTTGTTTTTATCACCGATAAATCATGCGATATACTTTTGTTGTACAACTTTAAGCGTATGATGTGAAAAGATAAAAGCCTACAGGAAAAGGTGGTAGCTTGAGCATTGCTCTCCACTTAATAACAGTAATAATGTTTCAACAGGCCAGGAATCTATAAGCATGTTCATACTTTTACTACCCGTACCCGGTGTCCAAGTTAGCAACATCTAGCATTTAATTAGCAAGGCATTGATGTGATAAACACACTATCTTCTCAATCCTTTGAGAAAAAAGAGTCATCAAGTGTTAGACTGTCAAATATGGTATTAATCCATCGTATTAAGCCCAGTGCTACCAAGTACCAAAAGCCAACCTTGTCCACAGAAAATTGTAGTAGAAGCCACATTCCACTATCATCTCCACTCCCCAAAAGCCAAAAAAAATAGCAGACACTAAAGTCCCAAGCAAATTGTGGTATGGATGTATGATAGAATTGAAACTCAGGTTGAGCTGTTAAGGTATAATAGTCAAGGGTATTAGTGTAATCTCCTAGTCTAGGGTTTCTCTCTTGTGTCTTGCCATTGGGCCTCAATACGACCATCCAATTGACCAATTCAGTATCCCTTATTCGTAACATGAGCCACTATCCAGAAGACACTAATCCACCATAACATAAAATCCTGGCACTCATCCGTTCCAAAATGTAGGTCATTTTAGTCTTGGTCCAAGTCAATCATATCTGAATTGTACCAAGTTTACAGAAAAATATACTAATGTCTACAAAAACAAATAAATAAATGCTATCAAGACATAGTTCATGCTGAATTTGACAAAAGTAATTTAGTGTTGTAAATGTTAGTGCATTTTCTACACCCTTGATCAAAGTTAGAGAAGTTTGACTTAAGAGAAAACTAAAACAACCTCCACTTCAAAATGGAGGGAGAATAAGGGCCTGTTTGGATCACCTCGGAACTAGTTCGTAGAACTACTTGCTAGGTGACTGAAGTAGTTTAGTTGATAAAGTTTAGCCCAGTGCTATTTGGAATTTTGGATACATGGACTAATAGCTACTAGTCCACTCTCTCTCTCTCTCTCTCTCTCTCTCATCTAGAGAACCAGTTGTTAGTGGAGGTATGGACTCAACTTTAGTCTACCTGTTAGTCCACCTTGTTTGGATGGTCTAGGACTAAACTTTAGTGGTATCCATACAGGCCCTAACATAAGGAAAACAAACTTTACAAATGATAAAGTTCAATACCATGATGTTCAATACCAGACTACACAGAAACAAATTACTAAGTAAAATATAGCTCATCTCAACAGAAGTCAGAAGTCATAGGGTTTACAAATGATAAAGTTACTTTTTTTTAGTTCTCTATCAGAGACTAGTTCGACAAACAGGTTTGCACCGTGATGTACTAGCTAAAGGATAAAGCAGCATTCTCATTCCAGATCTCTAATCAAGAGAACAAGCATTCGATGCGACCTTATCTTAGACAACATAATCAAGCGACACTAGCTAAATGACTGTACACTACACTAAGTAATTGGGAAGGGTGAAGGGAGCTTACAGTCTGCACGTCGGTGTCATCAAGAGTGATGGGCGGCATGCCTGGGAGCCGCACCTCTTTGCTCTCCACCTGAGTCCGATCAGACGCCTTGGGCCCCTGTCCACACACGCCAAAAACCCAGTCTAATCAAACCGAATTCTAAGGCAGCCCTAACAAATCCTATAGTACAATCAAGCGAATGTCCAGAATAGGGGGTGCACCGGATAGGAGAGTAGCGTGCGGAACGCGGGGGCGGCGTCACGGACGGCGTGGAGGAGCTCCACGCGCTGCGCAGGCGACGGCGCCGCGGAGCCCAGCAGCGCCGCCTCGATGACAGAGAGGAGCTCGCGCGGCGGAAGCGGCGCCATCGCCGGAGAACAAACCCGGTCTCCGGCCGGAACCCTAGGAGGAGTCGGCGGAATGGGAGGGTACGGAAGGGATTCAAAACCCTAGTGGGCGAGCACGGGGCTTCTGGGTTTTGGGGGGGCTCAGGGAAACCCGGCGGAGTCCGCAGTAGGCTGTTCATCGAGGCAGACGAGAGACGAGCGCGGTCGCGTCGCAAAGACGCGCCGGCGGCTGTGGCATCTCCGCATCTGGGCCGTTCAGAAGTTTGGAAGGTTGGCCTGTTGGACACGCGCGGTCCAAAACGCGCTAATACCTTCCTTTTTAGCTAAGGAATCGTTTTATTAGCTTAAAAAATAGGTATTAGCGCGTAAATACGCCATTGCCACGGGCCCAATTTGGTGTGAGCAAGAAAATTGGGCCCCATGACCAAAACCAGAAGCGCTCTTCAATTGTTGCACATGCTCTTCAATTGTTGCAATGTGCAGAGCTTTTGGCATCACTCACTCGTGCTGTGCCGGTTTGGTGTGAGCAAAGAAGTACCAATGAAATTGTATTATATTGTTTCGGCACCGAAGCAAGTTCTTGCCCGCTCCACGTTTTGTTGGCATGGATAGAATTGAAGTTGGAATCGCTTGCTGTAGTGGGATGAGTGGTTCCCAAATTCTCTATCTCCTATATAAGCGTCACTCAAGCTCCACGCTGCGGAGGGCCTTATGCAATCAATATATCTATCACATTCCCAACAAAACATCGTGTACCACGGTACAAGATTATTAGTTGATCTATGCCACCTCAGTCACTAAGCAAATTCCTTATAAATATGAGGAACTCTAGTTATATAGAGGGGTGACTTGACAACATAATCGTAGAAGATGAGTTGCTTGCTGAAACAAATTAATGCTCCATATACGAAAAGTATGTTACCAATCGGAAGAAGTCAAACACACATCAATACCAATGTTAGCACTCACTTGCATTGTAAAAATGACATGACAACCGTGCAAAACCACACCTGCGATGTTGAACAAGGCGACAACATCCACATACTACATGGCATCTGTTTCTCAAAGGTCGAACCATGTGTGTCCCTGGACAATGCGTAGAATATGCAAGGTCCTCAGTCCAGTCCTCACGTAGGGAATATGGTGACACACACGAGAGCACCTACAAGGCAACAAAGCACCGCGCGAGCTTTGCATCGTGCATGTACTGGCTAGCACCCGCCACCGGATGTATGCATGCACTGTGTACGCATACACCGGTGCCCAACGGCCATCTAGAATAACACATCTTGCATCTCGACAACTATAGCCTTACTCCATTTGCCTCACGCCATTGCCAATGCCTTGCATGCTCGCATGCACTCCCTAACAATAACTTTAGAGAAGACAAGCGATTTACGGGCGTCATCTTCCTCCCTTTGTTGTCCGTTGCCACCTGCCTATTGTTCAAATACCGCATTTTCTTTGCAGTTGCATTTTCTTTATAGGTGTATATAGGACACCTATAGACATGTATCAAATTAAGGGCATGTGTGGATCCGTTAGTACCGATGGATCTAAACAGACATGCTAATTATTAGCTGGATGGCTACTAATTATTAGTTCTATTAGCAGGTTTAGAATTACTAATAGGTGCTAATAGTTCATATACACCTTCAACTCACTATCCAACCACCTATTAGCATGTGGATCTAAACAGCCCCGCTAAAAATTAACAGCTATTAACTACTATTATGTAGCTAATTTTTAGTGTTAATGAATCAAACAAGCCCTAAAACGACATGAAAAGTTTCACATTGTAGAACAGCAGGGGCACGTCTTACGCCGAGTGGCGTCTAGAACATGACCACCACACATAATCATCACCGGTATGCTAGGGATCAGTGGGCGCTCTTGGCCACGTCCTCCCGGGGTCCCGGGGCATTCCTACGTCCTAACTGAAGCTGCAAAGCAACCCGGCGCCATTTCTGTTGGGAATGAGTCCATGGACGCGTGCAACATACTCCCGGAAGACACCATCTCGAGCAAGATTATATTTGGCACGTACACTCAAGTACATAGACAGTGTGCACGGCATTGTGCAGCTGGAAAAGCCAGCTCCACATGAGGGCTGCCAAATCGACAGTTCCGCGCCCTTGGAAATCCTAGTCACTTCTTCACACTGACCAATCTACCCTTGAAGCACACGGTGTGCAGTACTGCCACATTTGGCTTGGGGGCATAGAGGACAATTGCCACTGGGGTGGGAATGAGAGCTTTGTCAGTACTCAGTGAGCACGGCACCTGATGACGATGAACAGTGAGGAACGGCTATAAAAGGAGCCCCTCCCCCACCATGGCTCAAGCCTAAAGAACAAGGGAAGCCATCTCCTCATCAAGAGGGCATCAGATTGAGCTTCCTTACTCGAGGTAATTCTTAGTTTGCTGCCCTTTCAAACCTTTATGATGTCTCATATAAGAATGATTAATTACATGCACGGTTATCGTCGATCTGAGTCGTCATGGTATTTTTTCAGGCAAGGACGTGCTCTGAATTGACCGATGGCGGCGACAATGGCAGTGACGACGATGGTGACCAGGGGCAAGGAGACCTGGTCCTTGCAGGTCCCGACGGTTTCACTCCCTTGGAAGCCACGATGTGGCAAGAACGGCCTGGAGTTCCCCCGCCGGGCGATGTTCGCCAGCGTCGGCCTCAACGTGTGCCCGGGCGTCCCGGCGGGGCGCGACCCGCGGGAGCCCGATCCCAAGGCTCCTCGGCCCGCCGACAACTGCGACGTCGCGCGCCAGCTTGGCGCCGCTGTGCCCGGGCAGCAGCAGCAGCAGGCCGCCGGGGAGACGGAGGAGGAGGCAGCAAAGAAGAAGAAGGGTGGCGGAGGCAAGAAGAAGCTGGGCGATCTGAGGAAGGTGAGGGTCAAGATCGCCAACCCGCACCTGCGGCGCCTGGTTAGCGGCGCCATCGCCGGCGCCGTGTCGAGGACGTTCGTGGCGCCGCTGGAGACGATCCGGACGCACCTGATGGTCGGCAGCATCGGCGTCGACTCCATGGCCGGGGTGTTCCGGTGGATCATGCAGAACGAGGGGTGGACCGGCCTGTTCCGTGGCAACGCCGTCAATGTCCTCCGCGTCGCTCCGAGCAAGGCCATCGAGGTATGAGTACGACAACCCACACAGGTTTCTGGAACGTCCAGAATCCATGGCGGTCGTGTGCATCAGTGACCATTACTACACCTTCCTCTGAGCTCTGATGTTTTGTTTCCATGGTGGTTGTGGCGCACAGCATTTCACCTACGACACGGCCAAGAAGTTGCTAACCCCCAAGGCCGACGAGCCACCCAAGATCCCGATCCCCACGCCGCTGGTTGCCGGAGCTCTGGCCGGGTTCGCCTCAACCTTGTGCACCTATCCCATGGAGCTGATCAAGACCAGGATCACCATCGAGGTGAGCAACAACACAAACACAGCAGCTCGCAAAGTTTTTGCCATGGTCTCACTGCTGACTACTACCATAATCCCATGCACGGATGCGTGCCCACATTGCATTGTGTGATGACATGGCATGCAGAAGGACGCATACGACAACGTGGCGCACGCGTTCGTGAAGATCGTGCGCGACGAGGGCCCGTCGGAGCTGTACCGTGGGCTGGCACCCAGCCTGATCGGCGTGGTGCCGTACGCGGCCTGCAACTTCTACGCCTACGAGACGCTGAAGCGGCTCTACCGCCGCGCCACCGGGCGGCGCCCCGGCGCGGACGTGGGCGCCGTGGCGACGCTGCTCATCGGGTCGGCGGCGGGCGCTATCGCCAGCACGGCCACGTTCCCGCTGGAGGTGGCCCGCAAGCAGATGCAGGTGGGCGCCGTGGGCGGGAGGCAGGTGTACCAGAACGTCCTCCACGCGATCTACTGCATCCTCAAGAAGGAGGGCGCCGCTGGCCTGTACCGAGGCCTCGGCCCTAGCTGCATCAAGCTCATGCCCGCCGCCGGCATCGCCTTCATGTGCTACGAGGCGTGCAAGAAGATCCTCGATGAGGAGGAGGAGGACGAGGATGAAACCGGCGCCGGAGACGAGGACAAGAAGAAGGTTGAGTGATAAAAGTTCTCGACCAAGAAGATGGCAATGTCGTGAAGTGTGTGGAACTGGAAACGAATGGACAAGTATATTTGGAGTTTGATGTGGCGTTTCCGGGTCGTATGTTTGTCTCAAAAAATTTAAGTGTATTATGTTTGGAGTCGAAGTTAATGTTTTCATGTTGCCTGTTTCGTGTAATAATTACTATATTTGTCTATTTCAATTTTGAAGCCCAATTCGTTGTGTTAGTAAACCGTGATGTGATCACTTACGGTCACAATAGTCATTTTCATCTATTTTGGTATATAATAAACATGCCTCTATTTAGGCCTGTTTGGGACAGCGGATGTGGACCATGCAGTGCCGTATGGGTAAAGCAGCCGCCAATCCACGATATAGGAAACATGGGAGTTAGTTTATTTTTGCGTCCCTCGTGCCATGTGCGGTCGAAAGAATCATCGATATCGCCAGGGCGTTTGGCGTAATTCTTCGATTCTTTTCATCGTCATAGCAGAAAACACGGTCCCAAACACGCCTTTTATTGAGAGTCTGAGACATGAATGGCAAGCTAGCCTTTTGATTTTCTATAACATCAAATTTGAGAAGCGCCATCATTGCATCGTTAGGGAAAAAAGGGGGAGTTGCCTTATCAGAGAAAAAAAAGGGAATTGCTATTGTGTACTCCCTCCGTTTATAAAAGAATGTAATTATGATATCCGTGCTGGTCAATTGACCTCAAGTTTGACCAAGTTTATAGTAAATAGTATTAGTAGTTATGTCTCAAAATAAATTTATTATGAAAATATATTTTATAAATAATATAATGATACTTATTTTGTATCAAGAATGTTTATATTTTTTATATAAATTTAGTCAAAGTTCAGACTATTTGACTTCTTAAAATCTGAGAATTGCATTCTTTTATGGATAGAGGCAGTACGCGTCTCTTAAAAAATCAGGTTGTTAGATTTAGATCGGGGATGGTGTTCCTGTTCATCTTCTACCTTGAAATGTTCTTCGCCTTTTACCTTGGTTGTTCTTCAACATCTGTCTCATGTCGTTCGCATGTGCCCTCGATTACAGTCACTCAGTCAGATAACCTCCGTCCTTGACAGCCTCTCGACCGCTGCGTCTAGCCAGGGACAAACTCTCACCGCCACGTCTGGCACTAGTCCCCTGCCGCGCTAACCCGGCGGCTTCACATGGATGTCTCTATGCCTCCCGTTCCTCCTCCCACGGCCGACGACGGCCCTGCTGCCTCAGCCTGCCTTACCCAAGCCCCTTTCTAAGCCAAACCCTGCTGCCCCTGCCTGCCCTACCCAAGCCCCTTTCTAAGCCAAACCCAAATGATTGTCCCTATCGCCCCACCACTCCACCCCTGCCGCCTCCGCCTGCCTCCCCCAAGCCATTTCTAATCCCGCAGAGCCTAAACCCAAACCCAAATGCTTGGTGGGTGCGACAGTGGCACTTGAAATCGATCCCAAAAATCGCACCACCACCACCGGGATATCTTCTAAATGGAAAATAGCGATGAATCTCGAGTATCATACTGAACACAACTTGTACCATTCCAACCTAAATGAATCAAGTAAAAGCACACTAAATAAGCTGCGCCCTTAATTGATTATACAAGCAATCGTCTCTTGCCGACTCGACAAACTATGAAGAGTCTAGCTGCAGAACAGTAAATAAGCTACAACAGGGTTCTTGCAGGTTATTCAGCTTTGTTCCTCGGTCTCATTAGCCTCCCTCTCTTCTGCGGCCGCTGCCATCAGCTCATCAAATTTCTCCGTCTTGCCAAGCAATATTTCAATCTGCGCATTATAAGAGTATAAGAAAGGAGTCCAACTTGACCTAAAAAAAAGAAAGGAGTCCAACAAATAAACTTGAAAATGTGCAACCATTGACCACAGGAAGAACATTTACCTTGGCCTTCTGGAGAGTTCGGAGCCTAGTTTCGTCTTTGACATCAACAGTAGATGTCATGATCTCTGCATGTGATTCTCGAAGGTTAGGATGAAAGAGAACAGAACTCTAGAACATTTACTTTATTACAAACAAGACTCACTCTTCTCGACAGCAAGGCCATTATTTTTCAGAATTTCTGCTACTGTCACCACCGTTGCAATGGCTGAAAAGAGTAAATAAAAGACAAAAGTTAGCAGGTTCAGTAGTGCAAAAAGAGCATACGCAATAGGAAAATGATTCATCACAAAACAATGCCTGAAATGTAAATTAACATAACATATAAATGCAAATTTGAGCTTAGAAATTGTTTGCAACAGAACTGATGGTAAAATGCTATACATGATGACTAAATCAAGTTGTAGCCAAAGTAGAATGGCGGATTGCAACAACTGAGGACAAGATTTCAACCATAACTCTAATCAGCAAGCTATGAGGGCACTAGTTTTTGTGATCACATAAACTGGAAGTTCCAGAACTCTAAAACAACTTCACCTAGTTTTAGAGAAACAACCACCCCCACAATTGATCCAACGATTGTCAGGAACACTCTTCCATGTTCTATCAGAGAAGGTAACCACAACTAATTAAAAACCAAAGTTACTTTCTATGTTTGAACCGTGGCCTTGGGAGGCAATATTGATTTGTTCAGGGGATCCTAGGCCAAAGAACGCATGAAACCCAGTCATGACCCAAGCTTTTTAAGGCACACATATGCCCCATTATATACTATATAAGCCTTTAATGCCACCTCGCACTACCGTATGGCCCAAATTCACCACCCACTTCTGTGGCCAATTCCATACCATCTACTGCATGTCTGTATGCCACATTAGTTCCCAGACAAGCTCACCGCTGTCCTCGTGTGGATACACTCTCACACCATGAGGAAACACCTGCCATGGATTGTGCCAATATGGACTAAGGTTATCTGAGCGCTAGTTGCTTCACATTTACTCTGCATCTGCCACTTGTTCTCTAGGTAAAGAATAATACTACAATGAGCTATCTGCCCACAGATGTAAAATTAACGAAAGTTGTGCCGTGGACATATACATAAATACTCCTGGACATATACAATGAGTATATATGATAATCAAAAAAAGAAAGATGGGTACTAAACCAGTAAACACGTACCAAAGTAACCATCTACACATCTGGCAAGTACAAAGATACCACACATTGACAATCATGTACATAGGATGGAATAATGAATCAATGCTACACATCTTTCCACAAACCTTCTACAAAACCTCAATCACTCGCAGGCATAGCTATGAGGAGATTTAAATATAACAAATAAACGGAAAAGCTTCAGGAGGCAAAAGATTTACCCATGCCGAGGGCCGACAGCTCCACTTCGTTGTGCAGTTGCATGTACCTCTGCACAAGAACAACATCAGACAGCAGATTAGGCCTCCGTTTGCATCCTCTATACTCGGGAATACGCTCAAATCCAGTCAAATCGCCGGCAAATACATCTCGTCAGGCAAAACCCCAACTAAAGGGAAGCCCTTTTATTTAGCTTTATATAAACCCCGCGAACAAATCGAAATCCTAACCACAAGCAATCGCAAATAACCGCAAACTCTTGTGTTATCCTCCACCGCGAAAGAGAAGATTGGGATTATTTTCCCCCCTCCTCACCTTGGCGAGGTTGACATAGAAGAAGAGGGGCTTCTTGGTGTTGGAGACCTGGACGCGGTTCTTCTTGTGCCCCTCCGCCCCGGCACCGGCACCGGCCGCAGCTCCTCCGCCCGAGATGCTGAGGTTGTTCACGGCCTCGGTGACCTCCTCCATCGCCGTCGCCGCGAGGAAACTTGAGAGCTTGGTGACGCGCGAGAGAGGCAACGGGATTCGGCGGCGATGGATGGAATTGGAAGGGAAGCCCTATCGCTGCCGCGTTTTATACGGTGTAGGGTTACGGGCTTACGCCGGTCGGCGGGGTCACCGGTTATTTCTTTTTGCCTAAAATAGGGTCCGTATCCAGTAGCCTGGGTAAATTTAACCGAAAACCGAAAACCAAAACTAAAGAACTGGAATCTAAAAATTCGGTTTCTTATTCGATTTCTAATATTGAGAAACCAAAATAACCAAGAAAATTTGGTTCCTACTCTTAGTTAACCGAATTAACCGAAAGAACCGAATTAAATGAATTATACTTCACTTACTTGTATTTTGTAGGATTATGTTTACTTTATGTGTAGTGTTTTATATTTGAACGGCTATATATTTGTATTACTATATTGCTTTTGTTTTCTTATATATTATTATTATTAAAAATGAATATAGTGTTGCACAAATTTATCTTAGAACAAGTATATTTATTATTGTCTTGAGGTCTTTTAAAAAAATCGGTTAGTTTGGTTAGAACCAGAACCGAACCGAAATAACCGAGAACCGAAATGCTCGGTTCCTAAAAATTTTTGGAACCGATCGGTTCCCGTTTTCTAAGAACCGAATTTTATCAATAACCGAGGGAACCGAATCGAAACCGAACCGAGAACCGAATGCCCACCCTAAGTATCCAGCACCGGCTCAGGGCCTGTTCGTGTTTATAAAGCAAATATAATAGCATGCTATAAGCTGGTTGAATGTTGATGTGAAGAAAAGAGAAGAAAAAAGAAAGAAGAAATGGATTGTAAGTTTATAACCGGTTTAGACATAAGAATCATGAAACTCTGAGATAGGTGGGCCATGTATTAATGCTGAAGAACTAACAAATGTATGATTAGGCTAAGATATAGGCTGCAAGGATCCTTACAGCCAGCAACTAACTGTATTATTAGCCTTGCTGCTAAGAGCAACTCTAACAGATGTGCTAAAATAAATAGCTAACTTCATAGTTTAGCTCTTTTATAAAATATAGAACTCCTCAAAAATGAAGAGTTTTCAATAAATTTGCTATTTCTCATCTTGTATATTAAAAAATTGCAATGTCACCAACTACCGGGACCTATTCCTGGTGCTTGAAACTTTCCACGGACATATTCCTTCGGGCTCGTCCGCAGCAATGTCCTGGCGGCTCTGCCCCTTCGCGTGAATAGAAGACTTCG